TGGGGATTGAGCCTGCAACTCGGACATGTCCCTGGCCGGGAATCCAATTGTGAACTTCTTGGTTCATAGGTCGATGCTCAACCACTGAGCCATGCTGACTTGAACTACATATTTACATATTTGGAATCTCTAGAGCAGGTTTAATATCAAATCTTATGTACCTTTATGCCTTTGTTTTCCTTTCACTTCTGCCCTCTGTTTTCTTCAGTTTGGATTATAATTCTAACAGTTAGCTTTTCTTCCATCGTTTGAGGAACACGATAAAAGCCCTTGTGTTGAAAAAAACTTTTCTCCTCTCTGCTCTCTGCGTCTGTTACAGACACAACTCTAAGGTAAGCAGGAGAGAGCGAGGCCGAACCAGGAGCCCATCGCCTAAAAAGGAGGCCTACCAGCGGCGGCATGCTCCTGGATACACCAGGTGGGTCAGGAGCCAGCAGGTCAGCTCAGCCCTGCAGGCCTGAGTCTTGGGCAAGTGGACAACCTACATCACCTTTATGCCCAACCAGCTTTTTTTATTCTTCTTGTCAGCTTTTAGACGTCTGCCCCTCAGAGTGGGAGGCATATTGAAGGGATAGTCTCTCAACATCTGTAAGTTCTCTATTTCCATAGGAAAGCTTTTCTCAAGAGAGTGTCCCTTACTTGAGGCCTCAGCTGGAAGGGCAGCAGGGGCCCCTCCTGAGGGCAGACAGGACTCTGTGTTTGAGCTGGGCGTGAGTGGGTCAGGCAGGATAGAGGCGTGCTGCCCTGGGATGTGAGGGAAAGGCTGTCCCTAGGCGATGCAGTAGCTCTTAGTAGAAGTTTAGATGAATGAGTAACCTTGAACTTCCTTTTACTGCACATGAAAATCACTGGGGAAGCTTAAAAAAAAAAGGTCCCATTACCTAGCTACACCTCATAATCTCTGGGGATGGACCCAGACATTAGTATTTTGTTGTTGTTAATCCTCACTAGAGGATATTTTTTTCATTGGCTTTTAGAGAGTATGGAATGGAGGGGGGAGAGACACATTGATTGGTTGCCTCCTGCACACGCCCTGACCAGGGCCAGGGTTCGAGTCTGCAACTGAGGTATGATATGTGTCCTTGACCAGAATCGAATTTGGGATCCTTTAATCAATGAGTGAACACTTTATCCACTGAGACAAACCGGCTAGGGCCAGACATCAGTGTTTTTATTTATTTTAATATATTTTATTGATTTTTTACAGAGAGGAAAGGAGAGAGAAAGAGAGCTAGAAACGTCGATGAGAGAGAGACATCGACTAGCTGCCTCTTGCACACCCCCTATCAGGGATGTGCCCGCAACCAATGTACATGCCCTTGACCGGAATCGAACCTGGGACCTTTCAGTCCGCAGACCGACTATCGCTGAGCCAAACCGGTTTCAGCGAGACATCAGTGTTTTTAAAGCTCCCTGGTGATTCTGATGTGTAACCAATGTTGAGAACCACTGAGTCTACAACATCTTGTATTCACTATGTCGTTAGAAGAGAGGTGGACCCTAGGTCCCTTTTAACTATTAATTGCCTGATTCTCTGTTTCCAGGGAATAGAAACTTAAAAAAAAAAAAAAGTTTATTTATTTTTAAATATATTTTTATTGGTTTCAGGGAGGAAGGGAGAAGGAGAGGGAGGTAGAAACATCCATAATGAGAATCATTGATCAGCTGCCTCCTGCACATCCCCTACTGGGGATCAGGCCCACAACCTTGGCATGTGCCCTTGAATGGAACCTGGGACCCTTCAGTTTGCAGGCCGGTGTTCCATCAACTGAGCAAAACTGGCGAGGGCTAAAAAGATTTATTTTTGACTGGCAACTTCCCACCTGACCAAGCAAGGTATTTGGAAGGAAAGAAACTCATCCTGAGTTTGACTGTAGGTTAGGCATATCTGTGGGAAGAGCAGTGAGGTGTGAACCTGAGGTCCTACCTGATTCCTGTTCTCCCTGAGGTGGTTCCGTTGTTTTTTTTGTTAGGAGAGAAGTAGACATGTTGGGGTGGTTTTTGTGTCCAACAGAAAGCTCTCATCAGAGGAACTTGAGCGAAAACGGCAAGAAATGATGGAAAATGCCAAGTGGCGGGAGGAAGAGAGACTCAACATCCTTAAGAAGCACGCTAAGGATGAGGAAAGGGAGCAGAGGCTGGAGAAGCTGGACTCTCGGGACGGGAAGTTTATCCAGTGAGTGCACCTTCTTCCCCAATGGCTTTCATTGGTAGCGATGGTCCCAAGAAGGCAGCTGGGCAGCTGGTTCATTCCTGGTGCTCCCAGTGTTTCTGTGTCTGTAGAGAGAACATGGAGCGCAGTCTCCAGACCATCTTTGTTACCACTCGTAGCTGCTGGCCAGACCTGGCTAGAGAGTAGCATGTTTTTAATTTGAGGGGAGGAGAGGTGAATTGGTATTTTCATGGAATCTCCTTGGCCTTCCTTTTGCCCAACCAGCTTTTTTTATTCTGCTGAGGAAATCTTTTTTTCCAATGAGGCTTTGACTATTTTCCAAAACAGATAAATTTTCCCTTTGAATCTGGTTTAAATAACTGAGTTCCAGATGGAGGCAAAAGTGATGTATGTGGGCGTAAGAGAGGGTGTGTTTTTACAACTGGTTTGTGGCTAGCAACCTGTTGGTTTAATTTTGCTAGTTGACCAGTTGACACGTTTGTCACCTGCATTCATCTGTCTTCTCTCCCTAGGCGCATGAAGCTAGAGAGTGCGTCCACCTCCTCCCTGGAGGACCGGGTGAAGCGGAACATCTACTCTCTGCAGAGGACCTCAGTGGCCCTGGAGAAGAACTTTATGAAAAGATGAAACCATCCTCTCTCACTGGTTTTCCTGAATTTTCCAGGGAAGCTGCTGACCCCTTAAAAATTCTCTTTATAAGAGTTCAAGCGACTTCCTCCACAGATGTCAAACCACCACTGTTCAAAGTGACTGTCCTCCGTGGGTTCCTGAAACAGCTACTTCCTTTGAGAAGTAGTGAGACTTGCTTTATGGGACCCTCAGCAGCTTGTGCTGGGTGCATAGTGGGTTTTGACTGTATTTAATGGTGGGCAATGGACCATCTCGGTGTGAGCACTCCTGCCCCTCTGGAGGGCTGTTTCCTGTGGTTGGGGTTGGTGTTATGCCATTTCCTCCCACCTGTGTGAACACACCTCAGCATATTCCAGGCCTTTTAGAAGCCCCGCTCCAGCGTCACTGAGCTGGATTGTGCTTACCAGGGTAAATGGACATTTATTTGACTTAGTCGATAGGTGACAGGATGACATCAGGTTAGGGCAGAGCCAAGGGAGTGACAAAGAATCTGGAAGGAGAAAATATTTTTTAAATTCCTAAGTCAACTGTTGAAACCATTGGACTACCTTTCAAACTGTAAAAGTATAGTGTGTGTGTGTGTGTGTGTGTGTGTGTGTACACACAAATGGTAATTTTTACATGCTTTTTAAAAAATTAGCTTTGTGAGAATATCTTGTTTCGTAAGCGACTTTATATGTAACAGAACCACATTGTATCTTGTTATTATCGATAAGTAATGCAGTTAAGGCAGGTCAGCTTTTTTCCCCTTTGCACATCCAGCTGGTTTAGGAGGGGCTGGGTTTATGGATAGGGTCTAAGGTAGCCATCCTTTCACACTGCGTAGAGTCTTCGATGTGAGAAGTGCAATGATGAAATCAAATCATTTTATGAGTCAGGACCAAATTGGCAGTATGCTCCCTGGCTCTTAAAAAAATAAAAATAGAAGCTATTTATATTTTATGGCTTCCTTTTATCATGTAGTAATCCTATTATAATAATTCTAGATTTCCTGAAGTTGTTTGCTACTATTTTTTAGTCAGTTATTAAAAAAACCAAAAGTTATGGTTCTAATCTCCTGTCTTCTTTCCCTTTGTTCTTTCACCACAAGCCCTCATTTGACCCATGAACTTTTTCATAGGTACCCTTGCCCCCCACATTAGCTGGGCTATTCCTTTTCTACTGATTCCTAATTTGGCTTAAAACAAATTTGGATTTATATTTTTGAGCACTTATAATGCAAGGCTCTGTAATATTTAAAACCTAGTCTTTCTCCAGAGAGAAAGTAACATACACTTGTTACTTATTTAATCACTTCATCCTCTTCCCCTGTGATAATGTTAATGATGTAGTTTACTATATTACTTGGTAATAAAGGTTACATTTATTTTTGTTACTGTTTAAAGAGCTACCATGTGCTGAGAAGCAAATTTGCATATTTCCATTCAGAGCACTATGCCCGTCATTTAGGTAATATACCTGGAGCTCCTTGGCCCACGAGGAATTATGTAACAGATTTCATGAAGTGAGCCTGAGAATAAGATGATCACGGCTGTTGTAGGACAGGTGTCTTAAAGTGCCAGCCGTCTCTTAACCTGACCCTTTGGCGGGAGGAGGCCCGGGCTGCAGGTGGGTGGAGAGCCCATTCATAAAAGCTGGGCTCCCGGTCGGCCCTTCTCATTGGCCCCGGGGCGGGGGGCGTGGCCTGTGGGTGGGACGCTGCCCTGGGCCCGGGGGAGTGGGTAGACCCAGCCCGGGTGGGGCGAGGGGGCGCTCCTTGGTTTTCCCCGCAGGACTTCCTTTTCCCGCCGCTGCGTCCCTCCCCCCCCCGGGGTGCGATGGTACGTCCCGCCCCCGCCCGCCCGCCCCTCCTCCCCTCCCGGGCGCCGCCATCTTGGCACGTCAGGTTGCAGGAAATAGCCGAACCCTGGCTTTGGGGGCCCGGACCGGGACCCCTCCCCTCCCGCCCTCCTCCCCTCCTCGCTCCGGTGCGGGGTTCTGGGGCGCGGGGGCCGCCGGGCTCCAGTCAGGCCCGGGGAGGAGGGGCGGGCGGGGCGGCCGCAGCCCCCGGGGGCCGGGCCGTACCACCCGGCGGGGGGCGTCGGGGACGGCCGGGCGGGCGCGGCTCCGGGGCGGGCGCCGAGCGGGCTGGCCGGCCCCTGGGGGCGGGGCGCGGGGCGGACGGAACCACCGGGGCGGGGTGGGGAGGTAACGGGACGGGCGCGACCATGGCGCGCTGAGGGAGGGGGTGGGATCGGTCCGGGGGAGGCCTGGCGCCGCTGGCTCGCGCGCTGTCTCGGCCGCCCCCCCGTTCGCCGCCGCCGCCGCCGCCGCCGCCGCCGCCGCCCCGGGCATGTCGTCCAACTGCACCAGCACCACGGCGGTGGCGGTGGCGCCGCTGAGCGCCAGCAAGACCAAGACCAAGAAGAAGCATTTTGTGTGCCAGAAAGTGAAGCTATTCCGGGCCAGCGAGCCGATCCTCAGCGTCCTGATGTGGGGGGTGAACCACACGGTAACCAGCTCCCCGGCGCGCCCCCGGCCTCCCGGCCTCCCCCCGCCTTCCCCGGCCTCCGCCCCGCGGCCCGGCCGGGGCGCCTGCAGCCCCGCTCCGGCCGCTCGCACGCCCACCCAGCCCGCCCCGCACGCCGTCCGGCCGGCCGTGCGCGCCCCGCGAGGCCTGTGCCCCGTGGAACGCCGTCGCCGCCGCCGCCTCCCGCCCTCAGCCCCTCTGCTGCTGCGTCCGGGGCGCTCGCCCGGCCGGCCCTGCAGCGCGGAGGGAAGGCCTGGGTGCAGGGGGATCGCCCTCATCCCCTCTCCACCTCGCCCTCTGGGGTGCATGCGTGTTCCCGCTGCCGGCTCAGGGTCTGGTTGACAGGGCAAGTGGCATTGGCCTGCCTGGCGGTGCCTCTGTGTCTGGTCGTTTGGTCGGTGTGGCTCCTCAAAGTTTCCCATCCTCCTGACCATGGAAGTCCTTCCCGGGTTTCCCTTTCTCCTGCTTGAACGAGATGTACCCGCTGGAGAAGCACAGGCTGCCTTGAACCACAGACACTTGGCCAGGGCCCTCCGGGTTAGGGAGGAGAGAAGAGGTGAGGCCGGGTTTTAAGGACTGTGGATGGTAGGAATGTCTTCCTGCTTTCTCCCGTACGCTGCTCATGCCAAAGCCTTTGACTTCTCATGTATTTAGCTTTCTATTGTATGTCAGAAAGGGTGTGGCAATGGGTGGTGATTGGGGTGAGCGAGGGGTCCCCTGGATCTTTGGGGCGCTGTGAGATGGTCCTACAGTCCGTCCGGAAGTTGGAGCCCAGCCCAGTGCAAACTGGAGGGCTTTATGTCCTGCTTGCTTAGGGTCTTTTTTCTTCCTCTTCCAATTGCTTGCCCCCTGCACTCTGACCATGTCGTCGGGAGCCCGTAGATTAGGAACGAGCAAAAGAAGCAAAAGGACCCGAGACAACCAGCCCCACCAAGGAAAAGTTTGCCATAAGGAGGATGGAGCTAACGGCTTGGGTTTCGGTCTTTTAGTTCCCCTCGCTTTTCTGAACACCTGAAGTGGCCCGTAGACTCCCTCCATGGAGTTTTGGTTTGGTAGATGGATAGACCATGGCCTGAGCCTTGTTTTAGAACTTCACATCTGATCCAGAGAAGCACCCGTGTACGGTGCGGTCCTTTTGGTTCTTGAACCGCTTCTGGCCAATAGTCCGGCAGAGTTTGTTCGTCCTGCTTCCTGCTACCTCGGGGGTCATTTGACATCAAAATGTGAACCCCGTGTCACTGCCTAGAAGTCGTCCTTGATGTTGTCCTGCTGCCTGCTTCTCACTAGAAAGCATCCTTTCTGGGCAGAGAACTGGGAGAGATCCAGGCGCCGGGACCTGTGGCCACACCAGCGGACGCAGCTCACTGTCCAGCGCTGTGGGCTGTGCTGGCCAGCGGGGTGCTTGAGCGGCTGCCTCCTTCTCTTCCTCCTGTTCCTTGTCCTGTCTCTCAGCCACGGGCCGGGGACAGTTGGGAAGTATCATCTTGTGAGAGAACCTGAATGTATGAACCTCAGCTGTGTGCACCTGGGCAGGGCGTGTGCGTGGGGCTTGGTTTTCTGATAGGCAGGCAATCTGCTCAGATGGGGCATCAGGTGCAAGCCTCTGTAGGCAGTTAGGCCATCCAGGTGGGTGGGTATAGCTGTGATTCCTACTCCGTGGGATGCAGCAGTCACCTCTCTTTGCTAACTCAGGAAGTTTGCTGGAGGGCCAGCTGGGAAGGCATGGGCTGTAAGCAAGAACCTTGCTTCTGGGCATAAAGAGCCAGCACCTCAGGGGAAATGCCACAGGCACCCCAGACCCCGCCGGCTGAGTGAGCTTCTGAGGTCAGTTAGCCCCAAGTTTTGATGCTTCCACCCAGCCTGTAATAAGTCTAGTACTTAAAGGTCCTCATCTGGGAAATGGAGGCATCTCCCCAGAAGAAGTGTATACAATTTTGCAATTCTCTAGGGCAGCGGTCGGCAAAACTCATCAGTCCGCCCTCGTGCGCTGTCTCGGCCGCCCTCGTTGCCACATAGCAACAGGACAACGATTGACATTTCTTTGGAGAGCCACATTTTTTAAACTTAAACTTCTTCTAACGCCACTTCTTCAAAATAGACTGGCCCAGGCCGCGGTATTTTGTGGAAGAGCCACACTCAGGGGGCCAAAGAGCCGCATGGGGCTGGAGAGCCGCAGTTTGCCGACCACTGCTCTAGGGGGCCAGGACCACATTGTTCTTAGTGGGTTGCTAGCCTTTCTTGGCGATTACCTTACTTCAGAAGCCCGCTGTTGCAGTGTTGTGCAATCTGAGATTTCAGATCTCCCGTTTTCTTTGACTCTAGTTTCTCGCCCATTTAGGCAGTTAGGCCATCCATGATGGTCTGTGGCTGATGGTGAATGGGGCTGTCTCGGCCTGTAGTAGAATGAGTTACTCTCTCAAGAGGTAGATGATTTCTTCTAGGTTCCAGTGTTGTCACATGAGCTGCTCTCAAGGACGAGGTCACAGTGGTCATTTTGCCGACCACTGGGATAGGGGCTTAATCACAAGGAACAGCAGCCTGTAATTATTGGAATCGAGAGTCTAGGTCAGTGGTCGGCAAACTCAGTAGTCAACAGAGCGGCAAAGCTCGGCTCACGAGCCGCAGTTTGCCGGCCACTGGACTAGGATGAAGCCCACGGGTTTGGTGGAGGAAGACTGTCGGAAACAGAGAGAAAACCCAAAAGACTTTGGGTTTGTCAGGGAGAACCAATGTTTTCATGGATGAAACGTAGTTCAAAGGGTCTGGAATTACGGAAGAGGTGGCTTGTGAGAGGGGCGGGGAGAGCAGAAGAGCAGACCCGGCTTGATAACATGTTGCCGTGTTAGGACCAGGTGTCTGTGTAGCCTCACCCAGGTGGTCAGAAGGAATAGGAGCAATTGATGGTAACTATGTTTAACCGTCAGCCTTGTTCTTCAAAGTGGCGGCACCATCTTACACTTCCACCAGCAGAGTGTGTGTGGTCCTTACCAACACTTGTTACTGTCTGTCTTTTTTTATTTAATGTAGCCATCCTCGTGGATGTGAAACGTTATTGTGATTTCAATTTGTTTCCTTTGTAACTAGTGAAGTTGAACATCTCTTCATGTGCTTAGTGGTCATATTTGTATTTTCATTGGAGAAATGTCTGTTAAGGTCCTTTGGGGCACCGAAACCGGTTTGGCTCAGTGGTAGAGCGTCGGTCTATGGACTGAAAGGTCCCAGGTTCGATTCTGGTCAAGGGCATGTACCTTGGTTGCGGGCACATCCCCGGTAGGGGGTGTGCAAGAGGCAACTGGTCGATGTTTCTCTCTCATCGACGTTTCTAGCTCTCTGTCTCTCTCCCTTTCTCTCTGTAAAAAATCAATAAAATATATTAAAAAAAAAAAAAAAAGACCCTTTGGGGTGGGGGGGAAAAGACCCTTTGCCCATTGGGAAAAAAACTTTTTGCATCTTTATTTGGATTATTTGTCTTTTTATTATTGAGTTGTTAGAGAACTTGATATATTCTGAATGCAAGTTACTTATTAGATATATGATTTGCAAATATTTTTATCCCATTTTTTAGGTTATTTTTTTTCACTTTTTTGGTGTTTTCTTTTGAAGCTCAAGTTTTTAATTTTGATAAACTCAAGCTTATCTATTATTTTGGTTGTTTGTGCTTTTGGTGCCAAATCTAAGAGGGCTTTGCCTAACCCAAGGTCATGAAGATTTTTTTCTTACATTTTCTCCTAAGAAAAACTCTTAAAAAAAACCCCCCAAAACAAAAAAACCTCTTACAGCTTTAGCTCTTATATTTAGGTTTGTAATCCATTTTGCATTAATTTTTGTGTATGATGTGAGAAACAAATTCAGTCTTTTTTTGTGTGTCTTTTTTATTGATTTCAGAGAGGAAGGAAGAGGAATAGAGAGATAGAAACATCAATGAGAGAGAATCATTGATTGGCTACCTCCCCAACGCCCCCTACTGGGGGGTGGGGATTGAGCCCACAACTTGGGCATGTGCCCTTGGCCAGAATTGAACATGGGACCCTTCAGTCTGCAGGCCGACACTCTTATCCACTGAGCCAAACCAGCCAGGGCCAGATTCCTTCTTAAGTTTGCTCATTTCTCTCCCACATTTCATCTTCATCTGCCATGCATTTTATTTGCTAAGTGCAGACCCAGAACCTACTTTTCCTGCCTTTTTCTCTTGACCTGTTTCTTTAAAAACCTTAGAAAACTCTTCTGCTCTAGTGAGGCCTTCGGGTGAATTTGTCTCTTACCAGTCTTTCCGACCTCAGAGGACAGTGGGCCTCAACAGGAGGAGAAAAGCCAAAGTATAAAAGGAAGGAATAGACTCGGGTGAATTTGTTGGCCCCGGTGGCTCTCTGCTCTCGCCTTTTCCTCTCTGGAGTTCCGCGTCTTGATGGGCTCTTGGTCTTGAGAGTGTGGTTCCCAGTACATAATGTTTTCTGATGGCGGCAGGTAACAAATGTCTGTCAGTGGTAGCCAGCCCATAGCTGAGTCACCCACGGAACCCTGGACGTGACAGGAATCCTGTATGCCCAGCCCCACCTCCTGGGGAGCTGTTCCAGTGAAGGTCACACAGGGAAGTGGAGGCTTCTAGAATCAGCAATTCACCAGACTGGAACTGGTGACTGAATTTTCATTTCCAGTAGGATCAGCATAGAGTGAACTCTGCTTTTAAGTTAGCCCTCATTCAGCTTGGTTAAACTCATTATTGATGCTAATGGTCATGGAATTAATCGTGTGGAAAATCCAAAAACTACTATGATAAGAGATACAAAAAACTTACCATTCTTATATGTTACTGGAGGCCTGGTGCTTGAAATGCGTGCACAGGTAGGGTCCCTCGGCCTGGCCTGCGATCAGGGCCTTCCAGCTGCCTGCTGGGGCCTTCCTTCGTTCTGTGCTACCCCCTGGTGGTCAGCACACGTCATAGCAAGCGATCGAACTCCCAAACTCCCGAGGGACACTTTGCA